TATTAACATGGACATGGCGGCATTAGCGTAATGTACCGTCTAATTGCATCATGTTCCTTCGTTCCCTATTAAACTAAAGGAAAGGCCGATTTTACCAAGTCATAACCACATCAACACTCTCAACTTTACGAATTGGAATATGGGCATTGTGGAGTCTGAGAAATTGATTATTAAACGGAGACACATTTTAACCTACTGCAGATGCACCTTAAGAATAAATCAAGTCATGTCATGGAAGTTAACCTTAGGATCAGTGGAAGGAATAACATTAATATCAATTGAGAGTCATCAATGTGATATGTGAAGAAAATAAATATTGACGAACGCAATAGGCCTGGATGCTTAAATTATTTTATAGGTTATGGACTTCTGCAACTTTATAGTAACACAATAACCTTTTTTGTCAATACTATAATTTCTGATAAGAACAAACCTTCGAAGTGAAAATACGTTTGCAGTGTAAAGAAAGCTTTAGCCAACTTTTTGACACTAAAAAGCCTACAAAATGTATGCATTCAGAAGAGAAAGATAATTCGTGTTCAGAAAAATGATATACATTGACAAATTTATATGAAAAATATTTCACGATTCATCAGATGTCAAAACATTATTTAACTTATTTATTGTTAGAAGGTAAGGTAACAATAATTTCATTTCCGTCGTTCTCAGTTACGTACATGCAAAGTTTCACGGCGAGATCCTATTACAAGATGAGAACTAGTTTAAGTTGTTTCTAATTACTTAGCCCTGACTCAGCGTTCAATACATTTCGTTTACAATTCATTCAGTTTAATGTTTTCTCACTTTTGAATCCTTATTTTACCTATTTTTGTTCATCACCATAAATATTTTATACATTATTTATATGTACTGAGCATTTTTTTTAATTAACCACTCAAGGCTCGACAGTGTATTTGGTCAATTTAGTCACACCTATAATCAAGCTAAATAGTATAGTAGGTTTGGCCAATGACAATATTTTTTTAAATGAAGGTAAATATAACTTAGAGTCATTACCATGTTGTTATCCAAAAATAAAAAAATACCAACAATAAAAATATCGAATTACTTGTATGAAAGTCAAGTGAGCGCTAGAAAAACTACGAGTGCAAGACGGTATCGATGAACAAAACATTTTGAGAAATTGTAAACTACCGTGTAGTGGCGGGTATGAATATCTACATCATCCAGTGGATGTCGTAAGAAGCGACTATACTTGGGGAAAAGTGTTAGTTTTAAATAACCATGACCGTAAGTTACAAAAAATCACAGTGAAAAATCATAGTAACTTTGTCACTTTAGGTAACTACTTGGAACATTACAACGACTTATAATGTGATTTTATTTACGCGTTTTAGATTTATTATTAGTCTTTATTTTTAGTAGTCAAGTTTTGGAGTCAATACGAATTGTCTCGACTTCCAGCCTCCCGAACAAGCAGGTTTAAAAAGGATTTAGTATCATAGATCACATACATAGCCTCCGGCAAATTGTGCAGAAGACCAAAGAGTACAATGTGCCACTTTTCCTGGCGTATATGGACTATCAGAAAGCTTTAGATTCCGTCGAAATTTGGGTGGTGCCAATTTGACTGTCAGTATATCGAAGTGCTGAAGTATCTGAATAATAGGGCTACGATGGTTATCCGAGTACAGAACCAGAGTACGAAACCTATCCAACTGAAGAAAGGTGTAACATAAGGTGACATTATATTCCAGAAACTTTTAACTGCTGCAACCTCCCTAGCGTGAGGGGAACGATGATCCTACCGCCGCCAGGCGGTGCCGTTAGCTGCACTACCCTCTCGAGATCGATCAACTTCCCTTTCTACGGTTCGCTTAGGACAGCTGGATCGAATATGGCCCCTTTCCCCACAGCCATAGTACCTAGGGCTGTATCCATTATTGCGGTCGCGAACCGTAGCTGCCGCAACCTCCCTGACGCGATAGGAGTGAATATCCTGCCGCACGGCTTCCACCTCCAGTGCATGGGCCAAGGCGGCCTAAAGCGTCTCGTGGTGCCCGAGCCTCACAGCAGCTCTGACTTCAAGATCGCGGATGCCGTCTATGAATGTCTGCACCAGGTTCCCTTCAATGGGTGCAGGTACAGACTGGTATGCTTTTCGAACCATCTTCACCACCTCAAGGGCCCACTGCTGCAGGTTTTCGTTGCTGCTATGCACGCGATCCTTAAACTGCGCGCGAAAGACGTGTTCCAGGTGAGCGTCGCCATATCTCGCCTCCAATACCTCAAGGAGCTGCTCGTAGGTCACTTTCTTACCGAGAGCTTCCAACACAGTTAAGGCCTGGTCGCGCAGGTCTAGGGTGAGTGCAGTCATGGCCTGGCTTTTATTCCAGCCGTACGCCTCCATGACAGCCTCAAACTGGATTTTGTAGGCTGACCAGGAAGAAGTCCCGTCAAACGGCGGCGCTTTGAACCCACGTAGCGAAGGTGTTGTAGCTACTACGGGAGCTGTAATTCCATCCCCCAGTTTAAGGTTGTCCAGCATTTTCTTCACGTCAGCCATCACGTTGTCAACTCGATTTTTCACTTGGTTGATTCTGGTTTCAGCTTTCTCGATTCGGGTTTCAGCTTTCACGATTTGGGTTTCAGCTTCCGACAGGTGGTTGTCATGCTGAGCAACCCCATCCTTCACCTCCTTTATCTCCTTTCCGAAGGTAGCGTGAAGGTCCTTCATGAGGAGCATCTGCTCTTCCAACCGACGGGCCTGTTCCTATTGTCCGTCCCGCAGCTGCTCTTCCAAACGACGGGCGTGTTCCTTCAGCATCACCATCAGAGCACCTAAGTCAGGTACTGCAGATGTAGGAGCTACTGACGGGCCTGCAGCCGGTGGCTGGCCCTCCGACGTCTGCGAAACCACCACCAAATCTTCTTTGATCCGTCTCCTGCTGGCGTTGACTTCAGGTACGGACAGCCTCCGTTTCCTCCTTAGGTAAAATCGGCATGATTTATCCAACTTCTGACACCAATTTTTACGAGCTTGGGGTTCGTGACAATAAAAATTTCCGATAGAATTACCAAAATTAACACTTTAATTCACTTTACACTAAATAAAACTTAAAAGACATTAATAATTAGTCAAACTGATTCACTTCATTTCGCTCCGAAGCTTCACTTGTCTCGCCAATTTCAATACTGCCCCGATCGCGGCTTGCAGTGGCTTTATATAGGGCTCTTCCACGAAAACATCCAGAATATTCAAGTAAATACGCGCGAACTGCCGACCAGGCGCAGAAAGTTCGAGTTTGGGGCTTCCAGAAAGCTTAATTCTTCTGTTTGATACTAGATTGCGCTGTTGGTCGATAGTCAAGATTGACATTTTGTGTGAAGCCCTCCTCGCTCTGATCCCGGACACTAGATGGCGCTAGTGCCGGATATAAGACGTCAACTTAGGCGCGCAAAATTATAAAATTTAAAAGCGTAGCAAGCAAAAATATGGCGTGAATGTAATGTTCGAATTCTATTTTTTTTTGTATATGAAGTTTATTAAGCTTAGGATACTCTTAAAACATACTAGGTCGGAGATAAAGTTTCTTCATATTTTATACATATACAAATTAACGTAAAGAATTCTGAAGAGACCGAAACGTAAAAATCTGAGTGTTTAAGGTCAGGAATATATGACGGTTGCATTAACACTTACCAACCAAGCCAGCCAATTTTTGCTGAGTGGCCAAAGATGTGTATGTCTCATTAGTTGTGAGTAGTACAGATCCGAATCGATGTTTTTACCAACAGGTAAAAGCTCATAATAAACGATGCGCTTTCAAGCCCACCATACACACAGCATTATCTTGTTGCGTGTTTATCCGGGTTTCGCTAGTCTCTGGAACTTGACTGGCTTTTGACCATGATCTATTTTGAACTTTACTGTCGAATGTGATCAACTCTTCATCACGAGTGATCAATCTTTTCAAAAATGGTACGGTTTCATTACATTTCAATGGAGAATAGCAAATGAGACACGATTTATTGGGTTTCTTTTAATGAACTTTTGTAGTATCCAAATATTGAGCTTTTTTGTATAACCTGACCTTTTCAAATGAATCTAAACAGTTTTGTGGTCAATCCTCAATTTCTCGGTTATGACGATACTACTAATATGCCGATCTAACTGCAATTTAAAAAAATGCATCGACTTTGTCCCTATGAGGGCGATCAAAGCGAGCTGCATTTTTCACATCAAAATTACCGGGCTGAAAACGTTTGAACCCTTCTAACACGGTGGTAAAAGCACGTTGCAACTATTTAATCGTTGCAGCACGAGTAGGTGATGGTAGGACCACGCTCTAACAGAATACCAGCGTCAGTTTAATGCTGCTGTGTTTCGTATAGAGAGTGTAGAGAACCGGAAACCCTTTTTACTGGAAACGAGGTATTCAATTTTAGTCCTCAGGGCTGACAACTCAATGAAGAATCAAAATGCAGATGATTTTGATTCTTAATTGAGTACAAATGTAGATGTTTATGGGCCACAGAATCTACTAACTATCAGATTGACTGTGTACTCGTTTGTCGGCCTTATTCTTAAAAAACTGCATTAGGGCCATAAACGTCACAAACACTTTTTCCTTGCTTGAGTCGCATTTTCCCTTTTCTTTGTAACAAAACTTTAGAATGAATCAAATTGTTTTAATTTTCTTTGGCGGACAGAAAACAATTGAAACATTGCGGGAAAGTTTTTTTACTTTTTATTTTTAAAAATAACAAAAATAAAAGTGAAACCAGATATGTGTAGTAGTCCGTTCTTTATTTTATAACTAAATGTTATGTACGATATCAGAAATTTGATCATCATTAATTTTATTTTAAAATACAGAGTGATGAAAATGTTCTCGGCAAAATAATTACTGTTTCATACATACAAATATGATCTAAACTCGGATAAAGTTTGTAACCGGTAACCGGTAATCTAAATTATTAACTTAAAAACGTAGACATATTTTATATAGACTGTTAACATACGCGGCGCGTTGCAGGCGTACGGCGGGTGAACGTTAGCCGCGCGATTCAGCGTGAGGTGACCGAGCGGCCAAGCGTGGTGCGCGCGCAGCTCGATCGCGCGCCCGAGCGTGATGCCGCGCACCACGTGTATCGCGCCCCACACCCACAACATGCCTCAGGTACGCTTTCTTTCCTAGTCTTTATCTGAATGAATGAAGTTTTGATAAACTTCTTTTAGTCATTCATTTCAATCTATCCAAAGTCTCTGCTGAACCATAAGCTTCTCCAAACTGGTCCCATACGGGGATATATACCAGAGATTGCCGCGCTAGGTAAGCGAAGTTTTATATTACTTTGAGTTCTTAACAGAAAGATTTTGCTACCCACATTTGCTGTTTCTGTTTCCATCTGTCGCTTCATAAGACACCCACTCGAGTGGGTGTCTTATGAAGCGACATATTATCGATAATATGAGATAGTGGATTCACCTACTTCATTGCTGCTGCACGGCTTGGTATAAATAAATATTGACTCCTTCTCATGACTTCAAAAATTTCGTTTTAATTTAGTTACGTGAGATAACTAAGTGTGCGGAAAGTTTTAAATTCTTTAATGTATTCTTTCTTTTATTTTATTATTTGACATTTAGTATTAATGGTTTTAAGTCATTTTAAATGATTAATTTACAAAAATTATAAAAAAGTTCGGCACTACACCATTCTATTTCTTCATAATTTGACAGTAAAATCTAATTAGGATGTTTAACGCTCTTGTTTGTTTTTTTACAGTTTCTTAAAATTTACACAAATTGTTCCATATTTAAGAAATAGTATGATACTTTCAGCGAGAGTCCAGCAAGGCTCATATTGTGGTCCTTTTCTTTCCTTACGTTAAACATTTTTTTTTTACTTCAATAGTTTAATTTTAATTATAATTATAACTTTTCATCTATAGCTCGTGATAAAGGTATAAAATGTAAGCCAAATCGCATCACATCATAAGCGACAAACTACTTTAATATTGGATTCACAAAAATGAAGTAAAAAATATTAATTTGCTGCATTTAGTTATATAAAAATTTTTCATTCTTGTGCAAGATTTATTTGTTCTTTTTTAAGATTATATATTTCGAGGATATATGAAGTACTCCAACACGAACTAGAGCAGCGCGGTGGTCTATTTGCTCTAAAACCCTTTCAGAAATTAGAGGAAGTCAGCGCCTAGCACTTGGATAATATGTCAGCTGTAACTGTACCCTCTTTTGAAAGTTACTTCCGATTATATTATATTTGATCGTTACACTTAGAACTCTAATTGGTTAAGATACTTGATTTTATTTCCAAGGGAACAACGTTTGTGTATACTTAAAAAAAATCTTAACTTGTTTTCAATTTTTTTAGTGAGCATAAATTTTAGTAGAAATTCAATTTTGCATTACTTCTAAACCAAACAAAATATTTTTTAAATTCTTTTTACGTCTGAACAAATCAAATATGTTATTCTGAAACCAATGTAAAAAGCGGTCTAGGTGCGACCCGAAAGGGCCACACGACTAACTTCCCAGTAAAAAGAATAAAAAAATATCATGTTTTAATATTTTATACAACTTTTCATTTGGCACAAAAACGACTAGACTGATTTTGCTCAAATTTTAATGAATTCTAAGTTACATAATTATGCGTTAAATGAAACTGGTCCCATGTCAATATCACTCTTTTGTTCTCAAGATACACGAGGTGAAAATTGAATCCGAAGATACATACGAGTACATACATAAATAATATATACGTACATATGCACACACGGACATCCTCTTAAAACCATGCTATTCGACTCTAAAAACCTTGAAACATTGAGATATGTTAAAATTTCCAATTTGCAAATCGGACCCATTGCAATAACTTCCCACTAGGAAGTTAATAAAACAAAAAAATATATATTATTTGACTCAGATGTGATCACATCTATGAGAGAAGTTATAAATGGCACTATTCCTTCAAAAGTATCTAAATTTAAAACTTTAAGAAAAAATTAAAATTGGCTGCCGATCATGTGGTCCGGAGTTCAAATCCCAGGTCGGGTCAAAATCAATTATACGATTTTCTATTCTGAAATTCTCAGTAGCATTCCGAAATCAAGAAGTTGGAAGTGTTTTTAATAACATTAGCGTGGCAAACGAGCAAACAGTCCACCTGACGGTAAGTGGTTGCTGTGGCCCATAGACATCCACATTTATCGTCGATAACGAATGAAAATGCGGATGCATTGTCATCCATGAAGTTAAAGTTACAGCCTATATACGGCCCACGCCTGGGTTCAGGCCTCCCCTAATTTCTGGGAGGGTTTTAGGCCAAGGAAGTATTCGCCACTCTGCTCCAATCTTTATTGGTGAACTTCACATATTTTCGAGATACTTTTTTTTCTTATTTCTAAGATATGCAGGTTTCCTCACGATGCTACCTTCACCGCCGAGCATGTGGTAAATCAGCACTCAAATTGCAATTAACAATTTCATTGTCATCGGTACCCGTGGGGACTAAGATAGAATGCCTCGTTTCCAGCAAAAAGGATCTCCGGTTCTCTCACTCACCAACAGCAGCTTTAACTTTGCTATTAACTATGCTACCATTTGACGCTGGTATTTTGTGAGAGCGTGGTCCTTCCCCGGTCAATCCAACCCATTCGTGCTACAACCATACCAGTAATATATCTGGTACATGGCTCTACCGTGTAAAAGTTTCACCTCCTTGGATCGGAAAGCACTCTCTTAGGTAGTTTCAGATTGCCGTCACGAATATGAGAGTGAGGGAATAAAGAGTTCACCTTTGATTTCTCATACACTCGCTTTAATCTTGCCCTGTATAGATGACTAGTCTCATTTGAGACTATACACCGTGACGGAAATCAATCTAGACGGCATTATTACTTAGAAGTTTGATATTTTCAATATAAAATTACTCTTTGGAAATTGCTAGTACAAAATAATGCTGTATTAGAAATTTCCTTAATAAGAAATAAAAGCAAATGTTTTCAAGAAATAAAATCCACTTAAGGTAAAAAGGAATAATGGTATAGTAATATTACATTTCTTTCAAAAAACGAACTACAAATAAATTGTAAGATAAACAAGTTACTCACAGGTTACATATATTTTTAAGAAGATCTTTCCACTGCGCGTTCTTTGTAACAATGTTCTACATTATTAATATCGTTTCTTCCCTTACGTGGTTTTAAACAGGTACGGCGGTTTCCAGCAAAAAGGGAAACTTAAAAGATTTATGTTGATGCGACAGTTCCACTTCAAAAACATCTATTATTAACGCCGTATGTGTATTATATTTTCCTTTTGGGTAAAAAAATCTTTAACGGCTAAAATTTGAATTTTACCGTGTATTGACCATTTCCTTTTTATCCATTTTTAGACATGTACTTGAGACTCGTAGCAGGTCGCTTTCCACGCACCTATAAATAGAGATTAAACATTCAACGAGTTCGCATACACACTCTCCCAGTGCTCATAAATATTCAGCACAGACCGCGACAATCAATTCTTACAGTTCTCAAGCTTAGAGGAAAAATGTTTGAACAACCGAATAATTTAATATCGAGCAAAGACCGTGATAAATTGTTTGAATAATAAATCTATTAAGATTATTGAGATCATCAAACCATCATATCTGATATAAAAATTATTACATAAAAGGCACGGCTGACCATCGAGAGCTTTGTCACGCTTGTCACGCGTGTTTGCAGCAGTTTTTGTTTTATCATTTTTAGTTTGATCAGGAATATGTTGCTGCCTATCTCCTGTTCCAGTTTTCCTCTGTCACCTTTTTCTTAACCCACGGGGTGATATGGGGTAGTGGATATATCCTTCACTTATCAGTAATATGGTGATAATATGTTTTTGCTTAATTGTGTAATTCTGATTGTTTTAGGAACAAGTCCTCATCGATGTTGGCAGCAGTCGTTCTTCGTTATAATTATGCTTGTGCAAATGTTTTTTATTAGACTTGTGTGAGGAAAAATGGTCTATTTGTTTAAAATAAATATACTATTGTACGTACGAAATCTATTTTAAAACATTTTTTATTTTGTAAACATCCTGCATATTTTTGTATGACCTAAAATCACATACATGTTATAGATCAGATATAAAAACAAAATTACATATCATCCTTAAACTATAATTACCATATTCTACAATTAAAACTGAATGAATGAGAGTATTTAATTCTAAATAAGGTGGATACATTTAATTTTATTTTTCTAACGTCTTATCACAATGTCTAATGGCGTACAAATAATGATGGAAGCGAAATTAGTGTAATCGAATAGATTTTATACATCGCTGACTCTGAGTTGAGCTTAATTTGTCTGCACGTGTTCTTCAGTCTTATTACAAAATGTGGTTTATTGATATTTTTTGGTTTAAAGAAAAATTTTTGTCACGAAAGAATTATCGCGAATCCCACAGTTTCGCAAAATTTGAGATTTGCTGTCAATTTGGTAATTTAAAATTCATATCGCATATTTTTCACGGGACTTACGCCTCAACCTGAGATTCATTTTGTAAATTACTTCTTGTAATAAGACAGTTTATGAATTGAAATCTCGTAATTGTTGAGAGATAAAGAGAGAGAGAGAGAGAGAGAGAGAGAGATTATGTGTGCATTTGGTCCGTATGTAGGTGATTGCAATAGTTTTAGACATTATTGTAATAAAATATCCATTATTCTCGTTAAAGTTAACACGGTTTACAACTCCTATTTCCATGTCGCACGCTGTTTATTCGCGTGCATTACATACTCCCAGATACCTAGTCTAATATTTAACGACGTTATGCTTTATTCATCGTGGTGCTGTGCTTTGCATAAATTTGTAACTTCCCTTGTGTAATATATGTGCCAAAATTTAAAACTACGATGTCTACCGATGTACAACTTAAATGATATTATTTTCATTTGTTATTTCTAATCCATCGAGTATTAGGTAATTTTTGTGACGTGTGATTTTAAAACTAGGCTTGCCCCACACGCTTGTTAAATACAGTGTAAATATTAATGTTAATAAATTAATGCACACTAAGAAATTAAATTCTCATGAATGTGTTACCTTAAATTTACGAGATTCGTTAAATAACCTTACAAAGTAATATTAGTTGTAACAAAACATATCTTTTATTTAATTAAGAAATATTTATTACCTAATTAAGCTATTTACGTTTACAATCGTTTATAAATGTACAAAATATTGTGCGATCTTAATGATGTAAATAAAAAATAAATAAATTAGTATAAAATTAATGCGACTGTATTTTTATTTAACCCGTGTCTAAAATCTATTTATAACAGACAGTACACGCGTGAATATATTCTTCTTTTAAATATGGAGACATGAAACACCTAGACAATTTTATTTTGTTTTATATAGTGCTGTAAACAGTTATATAGCCAAAAGCTGAGCAGATTTATAGTTTATTTTTTTTTAATAATGAGAGAGAACTTAATAATACTTTAATGAAAAATTCAATATACTCTTTTATTAAATGACTACAAAACAATAAAGAAGCATACAATCCACTAGATGGTGAGAAGCTGCAGTCCATTTATAACTTCAATCAAAGTTACAAAGTATTTGAAATTTCGAACTACAGAAATAAAATGTGGACTGACTTGGCTTGAAACAGAATCATGAGGACACTAAAAAGGATTCCTCACAGCCTGCAATTACTTTTTTATCATTCATGATACTTCTAAATTTACAAAAAGATTAGACTTATAAAAACAGACCAACTACAGAAAAAAGATGTCGCTTTTCTACTTGAGTTCCTACAACTGTTCAGACCATATCAATGTTATTTAAATTGACATTTCAATTACGACAGCCAGTGTCAACGGAGACTAGCCAATTGCGCAGGACAGGATTATAGTGCACAAGTGCATTCTTTATTTCTTTACTCCCATAGACCGATTTAGACGACAATCGAAACAGCTTGAGGGAGTGAGGCGCAGCACCAACAGTTCGACATGTTTTCCGAGGCTTAATTGTTATATACTACTAACTTCCTGAATCCGGGCTGCCGCTTCGAAGCTCTTGTCAGAAAATTGCAACAACTGATTTTGCTTCAAACCTGGATTCGAACCCAGAACAACATAATCAGCAGTCACTTTTGCGACCACTCGAACAATGAGGAGGACAAGAATATAGAATTTGACGACTCCGTGGCGCAGTGGCTTAGCAATGAGCGGCTGCCCTGGGGGTCGCGGGTTTGAATCCCGCACGGAACAAACATTTGTATGGCCTACAAATAGATGTTCCGGGTCTGGAACTGGTGCAATTTATGTTTGTAAACTGCCCCTATGATACAAGAGAAAATCTTAGTGTAGGGGTAACGTTATAAAAAAAATACAAACTGTTTGACTAATATCTCACCTGATGGTATATGGAGATAAAAGAGAATAAGAATGAAGAAGCCAGAGACGGTACAACTCATTGGCCAGCTTAACAAATGCCTGTTTTCTCTCTCTCTCAGAATTATGGGTCTACTGCCTCTGTAATTCAAATTTAGAAACTGCTTTAGGTGAATCGCTACTTCACTGTCGAAATAGATAGGAGATGCCTTCTAAGCAGAGAGATAGAGACCTACCATCTGGTTGAGACAGGAGACAGGTATAAAAGCGCCTCGACTTTGGCCTTAGCTGTAAATAAAAATTAAGATATTCAAAATATTATTTCCCTCCTCTTAATAAAAAATTGTACAAGCATAATTATGGATGTGGCCTTAGACATATAAAGCTCAATAAAACGTTCAATGAAAACCCACTTAAAATAATGAAAAATAAAGAATAAAACGTGCATCATAGATTTTTAATGTAGGTATTTATTTTAAGGGTCATCGACATACGAGGGTGGATTGAAAAGTACTCGGCCTAACCAAGAAAATAAACACATACTAAATCAGTTATATTTTTATTTTTCTACATAATCACCATCAAGTTCAATACACTTTTGCCACCTCCCCTTCCAAGCATTTAGACCGTTGAAAAAAAATGATTCTTCCTTAGAGTCAAAATATGCGTCTACAGCTGCTTTGACCTCGTCGTTTGTCGAAAATCTTTGACCTCCCAAGTGCTTTTTTAGGTTAGGGAACAGAAAAAAGTCTGATGGTGCCAGATCAGGTGAATACGGCGGATGCGGTAACAGTTCAAAGCCACAGTTGTGAATTTCAGCCATTGACTGTACTGACGTGTGAACACGGGCGTTATCTTGATGAAACAGGACTTTTCTTCTGAGCATTCCTCGACGTTTTTCTTTTATTTCCTCTCGTAAACGACGTAGTAAGGTGCAGTAGTAATCAGAGTTTATAGTCTGACCCCTTTCAAGATAATCAATCATAATCACACCTTTCGAGTCCCAGAATACTGAAGCCATCACCTTATTTGCCGACAAAATCGACTTAGCCTTTTTTAGGGGGTGGTGAACCAGGTCTTCTCCACTGTTTTGATTGTTGTTTTATTTCCGGTGTACAGTAATGAACCCATGTTTTATCCATAGTAACAAAACAATTCAAAAAATCATCTGCATCGGCTTCAAATAACTCCAAACAGTCGCGTGAAATAGTCAATCGCGTCCTTTTTTGTTCAACTGAAAGCAGTCGCGGAACCCACCTCGCAGACACCTTGTGGAAACCCAACTCGTTGACAATGATGTTTTGAGTTCGTTCATAAGAGATGCCTATAATCTCGGCTATCTCTCCAATTTTTAATCTGCGGTCTCCCATTATTAAATCAAGTACTTTTTTAATATTTTCGTCAGTAGTTGACGTCGAACGCCTTCCAGAGCGGGGTTCATCTTTACACTCTCTCTACCACGCTTAAATTCTGCTATCCATTTTTTGACGGATGAATATGACAGAGCACAATCGCCTAATGTACTGACCATGTCATCATGGATGGCTTTTTGATGATAGCCCCTTTTTATGGAGGTGCATAATGACGGCACGCTGCTCGATTTGCTCCATTCCCGGAAATTATGTCCGATTACTTTGTTAATAAATTTATAAAATCACGACTAATTATCGCACACGTTTCGAACTTCACACAATGAACTAGTCTGAACTGAACTAAATAATGTGGCTAGATTTGATTTTTAGAATTGAATGGATCTGTGTTAGGCCGAGTACTTTTCTATCCACCCTCGTAAAAACAAATGCATATATTGACAGGTTTTTTTATTGAATAAGGGTGACAAACAAGCACACGGTTATTCTGATGATAAGTGGATGCTGTGGCCCATAGACATCTACATGGCCCATAGATATCTACATGTATCCCCAATTAAGAAGCAAAATGCAGATTTAGAACTAATATAGAATGTCTTGTTGCCTATTAATATTCAAAAACTGAAGGTAGCTGGACTAACTATGACATTGGGACGTCGAACATCTCAGTCCCCCCGTGACCATTGGTGCTGTAAAGCACCCAAAACGTCGGGATTATAAAAATAAATTAAAGTAATTAAACGCGATAAAATCCGTAAATAATAGTTTTATTCAATGTGTAGTGTTCGCGTAAATTTAAGCAATCATAATGTCTTGTTACCAGTAAAAAGGGTCAACGTCAAGTCAACAAAAACGGTCAAGAAATCAGCATTAAGCTGCTATTTTAACAAATTATTCAATACTTAAATATAATACCTGCCTCATTTATGCTCAATACAAAATTAACAGATTAAAAATATATCTTAACTTGGATAATGGAAATGAAGTAAATATAAAATGTAAATGGAATGGTGGAAAAGGTAAACAAATGGTAATTAAAGTAAAGCTAAACTTGGAATAGTATTCAAATATAGAATGATTAAATTATTAATAATACTTATAGCATGTAATTATTTAACATGGAGCGGAAGATTGAGCTAGACCTATAATAATTTTTTTTAATCTTTAGTAATATAAATGTGGTACATTAAATACGACTTCAATCTTGTATGGCGACAAGCTTGTAGTAAGACGGATCT